GCGATCGCCACGGCCATGACGGTATTCTCACGGTCGTTGACCGTTTGAGCAAGTATGCTCGCTTCCTTCCTTGCAAGTATCATGCTGCAGCACCCGAGCTCGCACGACTCTTGCACACCGGTTGGATTACCAACCTAGGTGTTCCAGAAGACATAGTGAGCGACCGAGATACTCGCTTCATGTCAACCTTTTGGACTTCACTCATGGCTGAGTCCGGTACGACTATGAAGCCGAGCTCGGCTTGGCACCCGCAGACGGATGGCCAGACGGAGCGAGCGCACCAGACCGCTCAGATGATGTTGCGTACGCTCATCCGTCCCGACCAGAAAGATTGGGTTGACCGGCTTCCCGACATCGAGTTCGCCTACAACACTTCGGTGCACCCGGCGATCTGCGTCACACCATTCGAGCTACATCATGGTCGAGAGAAAGCACGGATCTTCGYTGATCTCCTTTTGCCACAGGCTGCAAACATAGACGTCTCTTGCTCTCCCGCTTCCGTTCGGAAGTACCGGGACTTGCTGATCAAAGCCCGCACGAATATGCAAAAGGCTCAAATCCGCATGCAACAGCAAGCTAACCGACGTCGACTTCCATTTCCTTTCCGCGAGGGAGACCTTGTTTGGGTCCTCTCCGAGGAATTTGCGCTCGAGCAGGATGTTTCGCGCAAACTCCTTCGAAATGATTCGGACCATGGGAAGTCACTTCTGCCGTTCGGAGACGACCTCGCAGGTCCTTGCTTCGTGATCAACATTCCACCACACCTTACAGTGCATCGGGTCTTCCACGCATCGAAGCTGGCCATCTACATGCCACCTTCTGTTGACGAGTTTCCCAGACGTTGATCACAGCATCCGCCTTCGATGGACGGACATCAGGAAGTGGACCGAGTCATCACGCACCACAAGTATGGCAACAAGCCAATGCAGTACAAAGTCACATTCAAGCAATGTGCGCCTGACGACACTCGGTGGAGCTCTAGTGTAGACTTGCAGACTTCTGCACCCCTTATCTTCGCCAACTATGAGAAAACACGACTTGCGAAGGCAGCAGCTCGTCCCACCCGACCCACCCCGGTTTCGGACAGACAACTTTGCCCTCGCAGGTAGCTCTGTCTTTTAAGAGGGGGGGTGTGTTTCATCTTCGACGCCACACGGGTCCTACCGGACCCGACTCAGGGTTAGGGGGACACATTAGGGCCTAAAGGCCCGACCTTGGGGTACTACAGGCCGTAAAGGCCTTACTTTGGACCAGACCCGACGGGCAGGCCCAAACGACATTACCGTTTGGGCCTGGCTGCGCTCTTGAGGCTACCGCCCGCCGGTTGGGGCTGAACCGTCCATCTGGACGGTTCAGGGCACGGCCAGGCCTCGCAGCATTGAGGCCGACCTCTGCCCCACCGGTACAAAAGTACCGGTCCAGCCTCATTGAGGCCATCGACCTACCGGCACTCTACCGGTACGGTATGGTACAGCGCACATTAGCGCTGGCGCTATCTCTAGCGCAGGAGCAGCGAGGAGCAGCGCAGCAGCAGCGGCAACTGAGAGCACTGGCGGCCATAGCCGCCTGAGGTATCGGGAGTTGGAGGTCTCTCCTCCCTCCCCTCGTCAGTCCCCTCTCTCTCTCTCCTCAGCGGCTCCATTCTTCTTCTTCTTCTTCTTCTTCTTCTTCTTCTTCTTCTTCTTCTTCTTCTTCTTCTTCCTCTTCTTCTCTTCAGACTCCATCTTCTTCTTCTCCTTCTTCTTCTTCTTCAGATTGGAGACTTATACTAGTTGGACAGAGATCAGAGTTGGACTTCAGTGGTAAGGGGCTGTGGTACTTACCGAGTTCGAGACTTGGAGATTGTCGGGAATGATACTCGGCTGCAGCACAGATTGGACACCGGTTACATTAGGACTCTGTATCTCCGACATTGGTGACTTATTGTCTTCGACATTTTGATCTGGTTCGATGACATTTTGGATACCATATCGGTGACCTACTGGTTTCTATCTCGGTGACACTTGGTGCTGCCTACATCTCCCCTCCTCCTTCGTCTCTCCTCCCACCTCTCATTTGTGTATGTGTGTACGAGGTCTGGACATCGTCTATGCTTGGTCCAGACCCCACCATCTCACGATTGTATGTGTGTGGAGTGATCTCTATGTGAGTCAGTCCATGTGAGTCAGTCCATTTCTCAGACTTCCGCTGCATATATGCTCATCCTACATTGGTTGATCTTTGGTTCTGCCCATACTCATTGAAGTATGTAACA